TATTACATTTTAAGATCTAATTTTTTTGAGGTTTGAAGTTTATTTCGGACAAAAGCAGAAGAATTTTATAAAAAATAATGTTGAGTACATTTTCCCTATATTTCAATAGTAGGTACTTAAAATAAAATACATACCTAATTATATTTAATTCCCTGTTGTAGAAGTCAAGAGCCGCCACTGGTACTTATTATTTTTCATAGAAAAAATGAACTGTAAATAGCAATTACATACATGTATTTTTTTATTACAAATATTACATTTTGTTATAAATACTGCAGAGAAGCATACAATAGTATGATTATATGTATTGTCAGATAATAATACTAATCATACATATAAATGAAACAAAATATTATCACCGTAAACGATGAATCAAAAAATATTTGTATAAATATGTATATAGTGAGCAAGTGAAATTTGATTGAATAAAGGTTGTATACAAATTATTAAACATCAAATATAACAGTATAAAAATAGAGAATTAATAACATTAACAGAACTATACAAATATATTATCTACAGTAAAATCTTAAACAAAAACAATATTTCGTCTAATAGCTATTAAATAGATGTAAATCCAATTTAACAACAAGTTCTCCGGATTCAACTTGATGTAAAATTAATTTTTTAGTTATTGGACCATTGTGATTTTGCGATTCTTTCAGTATATCCTTCAATTTCAGTTCAGCTCTACCTAAAAACTCTAAAAAAAAAATAATCAAATTATACAGTGTGCTCGTAAAGTAACACGTAATTCTAAAACTCAGACAGGTTGATTTTGCTTTTCACCAACTTTTTTGCTTTATTAAAATGGACTATAATCTGATGCAAAAATATTAACTTTTTAGTGACACAGTGATTCAGTGAATTAGTATGCATGGATCCAAATAAGCATTGTATGTAATCCTTTTTTTAATGCACTTGTATGTTGCCAAACTTACTTTTGCAATTTTACATGTGTGCAGTAAAAAGAATCTCATACACAATACACTTTTACTTTACATCCTGTAAACAAAAAAAACAATTTTTGATTGATATCCGACAGATGTCACACAAAAATTAACTTTACCTACGACCACTACTGTAAGTACTTAAAAACACACTGTCTGCGATCAATGTAAGATTCCTATTACGTACGGTAAAAAAAACGCAGTTTTCCTAGCAACGGTCAATACAATACTGTTTGTATTGACCGTTGCTAGGCGGTTACTAGGAAAACTGTACGATTTTTTTACCAAGCTGTGCGATTTTTTTACCGTACGACGTAATAGGAATCTTGCATTGATCGCAGACGGTATGTTTTTAAGTATTTAAAGTAGTGGTCGTAGGTAATAGTATATTACGTAATAAGTGTTGTAAAAAGCATTTTACGTACGAATGGAAAAGTTACGCACGATGCCGCGTAGCGGCGAGTGCGTAATTCTATGAGTGCGTAATTGCATTACACCACGTATTACGTACTATACTTTACCTACAGCCACTACTTTAAATACTTAAAAACACACCGTCTGCGATCAATGAAAGATTCCTATTACATCGTACGGTAAAAAAAACGCACAGCTTGGTAAAAAAATCGTATAGTTTTCCTAGCAACTGCCTAGCAACGATCAATACAAAAAGTATTGTATTGGCCGTTGCTAGGCGGTTGCTAGGAAAAGTGTGCGTTTTTTTTACCGTACGACGTAATAGGAATCTTGCATTGATCGCAGACGGTGTGTTTTTAAGTATTTAAAGTATTGGTCGTAGGTAAAGTATAGTACGTAATACGTGGTGTAATGCAATTACACACTCATAGAATTACGCACGCGGTGTCGTGCGTAACTTTTCCATTCGTGCGTAAAATGCTTTTTACAACACTTATTACGTAATATACTATTTTAATACAGTTTTGAAAAAAAAATTATTAATATATTTTTCTATGAATATGTATATATATTTAAAAACTTACCGTCTGGCGCAAATGGATTTTGTTCCAACACAACAAACGTAAGCACTTCTTGGTTAATATTCCTTAACTGAAATTGCATACTGTAATTCCACACAAGAGAAGGTATTTGTGGTATACCACTTTGGGGAATATTGCCGTTATTAATGTTTTCTTTTGCAATATCAGTTTGTTGTTCCTGAGGTCCCAATGTCACTTTGCAATAAATATTTTCATTATGTGATTTTCCTAAAAAGTGTAAGGATCTGTGTAAAACCTGTTTTTCATGTAACATTTTTCAATTAAATAAATTAGTATTTGTAATACAGAAATTGCGGTAAATTTCATGAAGTGGTTGTAATTTATTGGTCAATTTTAGTACTTTTTAGTGACTTCTAAATAGTAGCAATTTTAGTTAGATACATTTCACAAACAAATGTTATGAACCCTGACATATATTTTATGGCTTTGTGGGACTGAGACTTGATAACATGTTGTTTTAGGGCTTATAAAAATTGTCTGAAACCTNCAACTTATCAAGGCTTCATTTAGAATAAATTATTACTAAGAAAATATATGTCTTTAATATTACTACTTTTTGCAGCACAATTCGAATATAAGGAATTGACATTCTACACTTCTTATCTATTTTGCTATTGCACCTACAATAAAATTTTATGATTTTTTTTTTTATTTTAAAACAATACTTAGGAACACAATTTATTATGCTTTTTCCTTAAAATTTCCTTAAAAAATAATTTGATCTTGAGTTAGAAATATTATTTTGTTTGCAAAATTACCACTCTCATATAGAAGACAATGTTTGTCAAGTAAAAAACATTTTCTGTAGAAATTAAGTTAATTGATGCGAAATATAACGCAAATATAGTTAGTTTAGTGTTAAAAAATTAAGAAAATACAATCATAAATTTAACATTTTTATTTTCGTCTTAAGAATGAAAATCGGATTTATTTTTAAGACAAAATTTCTAAAAAACTTTTTTTACACAGAACACCCTGTATAGTTATACATATTTTGTTAAATAAAATAAAGTTTAAAAAGTTTATCTCTAACTGTAAGAGAAATATGGCGAAAAGAGTGTCATAAGTGCAATATATGCACTAGAAAGTGATTGTGAAACAAACAAGGACCTTAACAGATGCAGACTGTCAGCAAAATTTAGTTTTCCCGGAAGCACAGGTTTATTTTTGTGTGCGAATTGGACATTTTGTAGAGGAAGACCTAATTAATCGGATTTGACATGAAAATTTTGCAGTTTTTATACAATGTGGTCAAAAAAAATTTATTGAATATGAAGTTCAGAAAACCTAAAATATGTATGTAAAAATATACAGCGTTTACAATTAAAAAAAATAACAAAAGTTTGGTTTACATATTTTCAAAATGCAACTTTCAATACTGTTTTGAAATTACAAGAAGAACTCTGATTTAACTTTTTCCAAAAAGCAAAAAGTTAGAAGTAGTAGAATGTTATTATGTGACCAACGTACATATTTAATAAATAATTTATAATTTGGCACTGACAATAAAACTACATTTACTTTTGTTTCTACGATTTATACTTAAATTAAAATTCTATATGTGCTTAATTACCAATACCTTTTTTTCGAGCATAACTACAAGTCTGAGCGTTACATATCTTATTGATTTCTATGGCTTCCAGTATAGTAACACACAACCACCTGCCAGCACTAAGAACTGAAATATCGTAATAGAAAGATTATAAATCTTACCGGATGAAATAAAGCGCTTTCCCTTTTGCACAAGAACAAGAAGACGCCCACAGGTTGGCCCCATTTGGGGTTCTGCATAGACAAAGAAGCAATGTTTACAAATATCCAAAGCAAACCCTGATAATACAAGGTATTAGCAACATGACTGCCTTAATTTAATAGTATTTAGCGATTAACAAGTTTTCGAATCAGTGCAAATATTTAAAATTATCCTGATTTAGTACAAAGAATAATGTGTTGAATATGTAAGTATTAGGGGAGAAATATTTGTTATAAACATATAAAACAAAACTTTAAAAATCCAATGGAATAAAAAAAATTATAAAAACTTAACACAAAGAAAAATACCATATCAAAATTGCTTATTATTTACAAATTTTAAAGCATTTCTTAAACATTTGGATATGGACCGATTCAAATTTTGGCACTCATGTTTCTAACAACCTGTATGAATTTACACTAACAACGATATCCCTTTCATTTCTCTTACAATAATACTACAAGGCATATCCACAACAGGTACTAATTTTTTTTATATTAAACAGCAATATACTTATGAGAAATTTACATACTCAGAAAGGTACAACAAACACTATTTTTCGACGTAGTTTCCTTCAATTTCAATGCACTTCGTAAGTCAAGGAATGAGCTTTCTGATACCTTCGTCAAAAATCTCCCGCCGTCTCTCGGGCCCATTGCTTTATAGCACTGTGGACCTCATAGTTGGTAAAAAACAATTTTCCACCCATAAACACGTTCAGAGAAGAGAAAAGATGAAAATCAGAAGGTATCAGGTCAGGACTGTGAGCGGGGCGGTTGATAATGTTCCAACCGAATGAATCCAGAAATTGGTGTGTGGCGTTGGCTGTGTGCAGAAGCGCTTTGTCATATAACAAGCACACTCCCTTCGTTAACATTCCTCTTCTTTTGTTCCGTATCACCCTCCATAGTGCTTTCAGGTTTCACAGTACTGTGCAGTATTAATTGTCTCCCCATAGGCCAAAAAGTCAATGAGGAGAATGCCTTTATGGTCCCAAAACACAGTTGCCATGATT